GGTTCGGGCCCTGACGGAGGAAATCACAAAGGATTTCCGCGGCGAAACCGTCCTAAATGTGACTTCTGTCATAAGATCGGTCATACTAAAGACACGTGTTTCAAACACCATAGGTTCATGGATTCTTGACTCTGGTGCCTCATATCATATTTCTGGTAATCCCCATCTTTTATCTCGTATTACCAAACACCGACACCTTTCTTTAATTACTCTCACTAATGGCCTTCAAACTTCGGCCACGGGTATTGGGCAAGCACTTCAACTTTCCTCCTTAACATTAGACTCATTCTTATATGTTCATAATAGCCCTTTTAACCTTGTCTCTGTTAGCAAAATTACACGTGCTCTTGATTGTTCTATAACTTATTTTTTTGCTTAGCAGGATCGTTGTACGGGGACGACGATTGGCGTCGGACATGAATCTCAAGGCTTGTATCATCTTCATCCTCGTGATCTAAATGCTTGTGTGTCCGTTGATCCCGCCATTACCTTACATAATCGTCTGGGTCATCCTAGCCTCTCAAAGTTTCGACGTCTGGTTCCAAGTTTCTCAAGTCTTTCATCTTTAGAGTGTGTGTCATGTCACCTTGGAAAGCAACCTCGTAAATCCTTTCCAAGGTGGGTCAATCAACATGCTGCGTCCCCTTTTGATTTAGTTCATACAAATGTATGGTGTCCTTATCGAGTCACTTCTACTTTAGGATTTCGTTATTTTGTTATTTTTGTGGACGATTTTTCTTGTTACACATGGTTGTTTTTAATGATAGATCTTTTTGAATTATTTCATATTTTTAAATTTTTTTGTGCCAAAATTCAAACTCAGTTTGGTCATTCTATCAAATTTTACGCAGTGACAATGCTAAAGATATTTTTTGTTGCGACACCCTTTAAGCACTTCATGACATCACGAGGTATGCTTCATCAATCTTCTTGTGTTCACACGCCTCAATAAAAAGAGGTAGGTTGCTGACGCAAGAATCGACATTTAGTTGATACCGCTCGCACCCTATTATTATACCCGCACCCTATTATTACACTCACATAAACCCTCTCAATATTGGGACAATGCTGTGCTCAGTGCGTGCCATTTAATAAATAGAATACTTTCCTTTGTACTTTAATGAAATTCCATATTCTTCCTTGTTTCTTAGTTGTGAATTATTTCCATTACCACCTCATGTGTTTGGGTGTCTGTGTTTGTCCATGATACGACATCTGGACTTCCTAAAATGTCGGCTAGGTCAATAAAATGTATCTTTCTTGGATATTCACGACTCCAAGAGGGTTATTGTTGTTATGCTCTTTTACCCAGGAAACATTTTGTTTCAGCTAATATCACTTTCATTGAGTCTTCCTACTATTACCCATTATCTACGGTTGATACACAATCATATTCAAACTTCATATCATATCTCCGACCCATCCCCCATCAAGATACTCCTATTTCTCTCCCATCTGATAAGCACCCAAACTGCCTTCCTATGCGAGACCGTCCATTACAGGTATACCATTGACGTCCTCGACCTCCTCTCATTGAGCCCATTGTGGCCATGCCCGTTGATTCCCCTATGACGGATCCTGCATCGCCACCACCACCTATTCCAGCACTTAAAATTACTCAAGATGATTTGCCCATTGCCCTCCAAAAAGGTACGCATTCCACATTGAACCCACATCCTATATATAACTTTTTTAGTTATCAACGCCTCTCTACCCCTTACTTTGCTTTCATTTCACATCTGTCTCATACCTACATTCCCAAAACCACACATGAGGCATTGGCACACCCTGAGTGGCTTAAAGCCATGTTGGTTGAGATGGAGGCTCTTTATTCTAGTGGGATGTGGGACTTAGTTACCCTTCCCAATGGAAAATTTGTTCTTGGATGTCGGTGGATATATATTGTTAAAGTTAGCCCTGATGGTAAAATTGATCGCTTTAAAGCACGCCTTGTGGCAAAAAGGTACACTCAGATCTATGGGCTAGATTATACTGACACCTTTTCTTCTTTAGTAAAGATTGCATCTGTTCGTTTGGTTTTATCTATGACAGTATTGAGTCACTGACCTCTGTTCCTGTTGGATATTAAAAATGCATTTCTTCATGGTGATCTGCATGAGGAGGTTTATATGGAGCAACCACCTGGCTTTATTGCCTAGGAGGAGTCAGGTTCAGTGTGCAGATTACGACGTTCGTTATATGGTTTAAAACAATCTCCACGTGCATGGTTTATGAGATTTAGAAGCTGTTCTGTTCATCTTATTCTCATTACTTATTGCTTATTCTTATTTTATTCAGATCATATCAGATCAGAAAAATTCAGATCAGATCAGATCAGAAAGATTCAAATTAGATCAGACTAAATCAGAACCATTCATATCAGAAAGATTCAGATCAGACCAGATCAGATCAGAAACATTCAGATCAGATCAGTATCATTTAGATCAGATCAAATCAGAAAAGTTCAAACATGATTTATTTCTTTTTCTTATTATAATAATAATAATATTAATAATAATAATAATAAATATCATCTTCATCGTCATCATTGTTATTATTGTTATTGTTATTATTGTAATTATTGTTACCATTGTTACTATTGTTACTATTATTAGTATTGTTACTATTATTAGTATTGTTACTATTAATAATAATAATAATATTAATAATAATAGTATTATAATTATTATTTTCATTATTATTATAGGTTTTGATTTTAAAACTATCAATCAAAGACCTAAAATCTTATTAGCACTTTCAATGAAGTCAAACTAATCAAACCATGTTTATTTCATCTTTCAAGTGCTGGATAAAAGGGAAGCTTTTCGGTGCCCTTTATATTGTCCACGACTCCATGGTTTTGGTGCATTGTCCATATGGAAGAATCCGATTGGATAGATATTCCAATGAAGTCATCCTAATAAAATTACTTTATAACTGCAAAATAATCCTTGTACACTTACATATCTATAAAGATGCAATTAAAGGACAATCCTTTTTAATTTGTTACGTTCCCCTGTAGTTCCTACTCTCATATCTTTCTGCCCGAATTCATTTGTCCCCAGCATCAACAAAGTCACCAATAACTCAATCCATCTCGCGAAGATGCTGCACAATCTCACTTATTATCTTTTCCTTGCAAGTTTATCGTTTCACACACTATAATTATTAGGTTCTCCAAGTTATCAAGCTGCTTAATATTCTCTCAGAAAATAATGAGAGTTTCTTAAGGGTTTCGCTTAATTTTAGCTCATCAAGCAATGTACATGAACAACACGAAGACCCCCTGAGCTTCAGTTTCTGTTTGATTTTAGGAACATTTAAGCTGCTGAATTTTAGTCCTTGGCTGATTAACTATAATTAATTAGAATCACTGATTAATTTTATCTGTAAACTTGAAGTGTTTTTTTCATATTTGGGCCTTTCTTTTCATTTTTAGCATGTCAATTCTGCAGATTCTTTTGCATTTCATAGCTCTTTAATTCTCGCAAATTTTAGCTGTTTTTTGTCCATTTTATTGGTACTGGTATTTACATCCATTGTGGATAATGTCTTCGTATCAGGGTATTTTGGTTGTTTTTCTGTTAATTTTATTAACAGAGTATTTGCATTAAATATAAGAATTTCTCCTTAGTTTAACAATAGAACTTAGCAGCACAGAAGACGGCGTGGAGCGCCATGACTTGCTCAAATTCCAAGTTCGGCAAATCTCTATTCCTTGATCTCAACCTTCTATCAACCAATTAATTAAAATCCAGAATCAGCAAAATCAATTGCAAATGAATGAAAACTCACATATGGGGAGCAAAATCAACCTCATGTATAGAGTGAAAAAAATCAAGAAGTTAATACATAATTCAATTAGATGGGGAATTTGTTAGTGTAATTGTAGAACATTTTTTGTCTCACTATTTTTTGGCTTGTGAATATGATGGAATAAAGCAAAATGACTCACTAATCTGCATGCGCTTCTTTGTTATGAAGTAACAATCGGTCTATGCAATTTTTGGCGCAATTTTCACTATGGGTCATTCGGAATCAGTCTCTCATTGCTTTAGTACAGGGGTAAGACTGCGTACATCCAACCCCCCTTACTCCACCGCAGGTGAGAGCCTTTGCGACACTGGGTGATGATGATGAAGAATTGTAGAGCATTGCTTTCCCAAACGCAGAATCAGAAGAAAGATGGCTTTGTTTGGTAGGAGTTGTGGAAGTGATGTCCTCTTTACGATTTTACATAAATAAACACTAAACTTTATAAAGGATTTATTATGCAATTTTGAGGAGATAAATGAGCTGTAATAGATGAGCACAAAAAGAACAGATGATCTCTTAGATGGCGTTATACACCTTAAAATTTTCCTTGATAAAATTCCTTAACTTTATTCTTCTCTCTTTTCTATTTCTCTCTTCGTTTTTACGTTTTTCTTCCGACCACCTCGCTGATACAAATTCTCTGCGTTCTTCCCTTGCTAAATTCGTGGAAGTGCCACAAAAAAGGGTATGAAAAGGCTCTTATACTAAAGTAAACCTAAAGTTAACCACTGACACCAGACAGCACCAGCCGATTGCTTGCACCGTTGGTCGCCGGACTGCCGCCAGCATCCAGCACCTAACCCTAATCCTTAACGCTAAACACTAGGGTATTTTTGTCCACACACAATATATTACTTCTATTTAGGAAAATGAAAATATAAACTCATATTTTTGCGCTTAACTTATGTTTTACTCCCATTTTCTGCAATTTCTTAAAAATACAAACACATATATTGTCTTACAAATTATATTTGTATGTTCACACAGGTCTTTGTATGTTAATGAATAGCTGTTTTAGCTACCCACTATCTTCACGTAATATACTGATTGATTGGTTGTACTTGTATGTGTTAATCAGTTTGTGAAAGGAAGTTTTCCCCCCTGTATATGCTTATATGATTTTGGGACTAAGCTGATGCTGTTGATGTGTTTACCTACTTCTAATTGTACTGAAACCTACACAGGTGAAGCCTGATCTTGGAAGAGTTGAGAAGTGGGTCCTACGCAATGCTTTTGATGACAAACAGGAACCTTACTTGCCAAAGGTTGGTTGTCTTTCTCCTCAAACTTTTAGTTGTAACCAATGTTCTAAAAGGCGCAAGGCACTAGTCGGGCGCCAACTAACTACTGAAACCTAGGGGATTGCCATACGGTTTATATTGGAAAAGTAAATTATAACATGTATTGGAAATAAATTTATTTGAAATAAAATATTAGTGTGTTTAATTTATGTGAATTAAATTCAGTAGAGTGGTACTAAAATGATCTAAAGTTAAGAAGGATATAACATGTATAATATGTACCGCTTATGAAACTGATTCAAAAAAGCTTAAGTTAATTTGAAAAGATTAAGGGTAATCAGATTGAGTAAGACTTTCTACGTATTTGTGTTGATAAATTGATCAAATGATATGTTTATAAAAGATGTTATCTCCCTCTTGAATTTCTTGGGACCTAATGTTAATATTCTATATCCAAATTACTATCACACTTCAATTTAATTACACCTAAGTTTGTTACACAAGTGAAACAGTAAAGATTAATTCAGAATGGGAAATGTAGCAAATTGTATCGTAACTCACTATTTATATACTCCGTATAATTTTGGTTTTACCACATAATCTGAGTTTGATCAATGTATGGATTACATTAAAAACCTAATAATGCGCCGGTGTGCCTCCAATCAACCTGATCCATCACTATTTATGTTGCTGTTTCGGGATGAAACTCAAGTCTTTGTATGACATGGATTAAATGGATATTAAGCTCACATGAGCAACCTGATTTGGTAAGCTTCAAGAGTGAATGTATGAAGTTCAAGATTGATCTATTTCAACAAGCAACGACCTTATATGACATGTTTAGCCATCTTACAATGAAATTCGAGCATACTAAATTGAAATTGATTCTATTCCAATAAGCATCAACGGTACGTGACATGTTAAGCCATCTTACATCGAACGAATGTAAAACACGAATCAACATGACCTCTTAGACATGGTTTAAGAAGGTTTTCTGGGGCTCGTCTGTCAATGTGAGGCACTGAGGCGCCAACAAAATCCATGAGTCACAAGTCTCAAACGAATGAACTCCGGCTTAAGCTTGAGATGGTTGAGGCGTTTTATTAAGCTTATGCCTCGGGCATTTCATGAGGCTTAATATACCATCATATAAATATGATCTAGACCAAGATGAATATAATATGTGGTCCCGGAATTATCGGGTGGTCCCCGCTCCCAATGTGGGCCCCACGTGTGGTTCACTATTCACGCGAAAGAAATAACCAAAAATTTACAACCACATAAATTCATAAATCAATATTCAGGATTTATTACATGATTTACTAAAAGTAAATATACTTGGGGACGATGTTACATATATGACTAATACTAGACTTGATCTTACTTATTATGTGGGAATTGTAAGCAGGTATATGGAAGTACCAACCACAACCCACCTAAATGCAGTAAAGCAGATTCTCAGGTATGTCAAAGGGACAGTTGATTATGGATGTGTGTACAAAAGAACACACACAAATGAGGGGTTGATTGGCTACAGGGAAAATGATTTAGCCAGGGATGTGGATGACAGAAAAAGCACTACAGGAATCTTGTTTTTCCTGAATCAAAGCCTTATCACATGGGTGTCTGAGAAGTAAAGAATTGTTGCATTGTCATCTTGTGAAGCAGAGTACATTGCAGCAACAGGTGGGGCATGTCAGGGAATTTGGCTTACAAAACTAATGGAGAGCATACTCGAAGATGTCAGCATGAAGCCAGTATTACGTGTGGATAATAAATCAGCTATAACTTTGGCCAGAAACCCTGTCCATCATGAAAGAAACAAGCATATTGATACTAGGTATCATTTCATCCGGGAGTGTGTTAAAAAAGAACTGATTAACTTGGAGTATACATAGACAGAAGAACAAATAGTTGACATTCTTACAAAACCACTTGGAAGGAATAGGTTTGCAGAGTTGAGGAACAAACTTGGAGTACAACACATGAAGGGAGTACAACAAGTTTAAGGGGGAGAATGTTGTGTTTAAACATGTTGTTATGTTACGTTTTATTTAGTGTTTAATTTCTTTTGGTGTCAATTTTATTTATTCAAAATAAACTTGTACGTGTGCATGTAGTGTTGAAAATGTCAAGGCCAACATGCACACACGTAGGAGTAAACGTAGGAGTAGGTTACATGGGTAGTTATCTGCACTCTTGCATTACTATTTATGTTGCTTTGTGGTAGGGTTTTTGTATCCAATTGTACCAGATTTTTCCCCTATGAATGAAAGAAAACCTGAACCACATCTTGGTCTCATTACTTCATATTCATGCAACATCCTTGTTTACTATCTTTAGAGCATAACTTGTTGTGATTCAGTTAGTTTAGCCTACAACGCAGTGGCCTCGGCTGGCCGGTTCATGAGCAGTGGTCGGTGCTTCTAGGAGCTTACCCCTTAAGTTAAGGCTGTAGAGGACCACCCTCGAACTGGTTACCGGCAACTTCCAGCAGGATCTTCCTTCCAGCTGTGGCATCCCCTCCTCAAACAACCATGAACACACGTAAGTTATTTTCTTCGGTCAAACAACACAAAACCAGAGGCTAAAACCTCCCAGAAACGCCCCAATATACATCAAAGGCCAATAAAGATTTCGGGCAGTCTGCTTAGAAAAGCCTGCTTCAGACGGAATCAGTTTGCACCAAGAGCTTCACCAAAACACTAGAATACCAAAGCCCAACCAGTAATACCACCGCAGTAGTACACCTTTTGCAAAAAACAGTAGTTAACACCTGAAGCCCACCGAAGCCTTGAGGGCCTCGGCAACGGCACCATGAGTGGTGGCGTCAGCAACCTGTCGGTGAGAACAAACAACTCCTTTTTTTGTGTTCATCTTCACCAACATAGAGGATGGGTCTCCATTCACTGCCGAAGGCTCGAATACTTTCCATAGGCATAGTGCGGGGGAGTTGGGGCTGTATGCTGAGTTAGTGGAGAAATATATATGTAGATTTTGGCTACCTCAACATTAATAATACTCCCTCCTTTATAACTTTGTTAATTTTACTTTTTTGGTTTTTCTCAAAAACTTTGCCACTTTCTCTTTTAATCAATCAATTTGTAGTTCCTGTTATTTTTCTCTCTTCTGTACAAATATCTACCACACAATTTTTACTTTATTATTCCACGTGCCGGTCAAACTTGGCAAACCTTTTAGGGACGGAGGGAGTATGTCACAGAGCCCCGACTTAGGAAGGACTTAGGTTATATATGTTACTCCTCTATTCATACATTTGATGATGGAGAGATCAATTGTGGTGGAGCCAGCGCTGAAGGCCATGATGCTGAGATCGTTGCTGGCCAGAAGGAGGAAGCCGATCTGGCTAACGCTATTACAACTTCTCTTGCTAATGAAGAAAAGGTTGTTACTGGTGCGAACCAAAAAGCGGTCACAAATGAATTCCCTAGCCTCCTTGTAAGAGGCCCTAACCATATGTGGGTCCGTGCGGGCCACACCTACCTAGTCTTCGTGGGGAACTTGATGCAGGAATGCCGCACGGAGTAGATCAGTTTGAGGTCCTCCAAGCCCGTCCTGCCGAGGATAGCATTGTGGGCACACTTCAGGCGGACGACCACAAATGTCATGTGGATCACCGCACGATGCAGACTGTCTTTGACATCCACAAGCAAGGTGATGGTCCCCTCTGCATCAATGCAATCTCCGATAAATCCTGTCAAAGGGGTTTGAAAGAGGGTCAACTCAGCCTTGCTCAGGTGCATCCTCTCGAACACGTCCCAGTAAAGGACGTTGACGCTGCTCCCTGTATCAACAAGGGCCCGCCGCACAATGGAATCCTTGATGTCCATACTGATGACCAAGTCGTCCCTATGTGGTCCTGGGGAGTTGGGCAAGTTAGCAGGCCCAAAAGTGATGGACTTGACCTTGTTCTTTTTTGCGGGTCGCGCGGATACGGAACCCACATAAAGATCCCGTTCGAACTTCTTCCGCTCGGCCGGTGTGTCTCCAGTCTCCGCTCCCCCCAAGATCACTTTAATCTTCATCTTCTTCTAGTCCCCACCTGGTCCGAGGAATCCATGTCCTTGGGTTCGGACTCCTGCCAATCATCTCGACGCCATATGCTGGGTTTCTTGTATGGTTGCATCTGGGAAGGTGGCTCCGTCCCTGCAATGTACTCCCCAAGGTGCCCTCCCCAGACCACATTGTCAATGGCGCTTTTGAGACTATTGCAGTTGTCCGTATTATGGCCCTTCTTGTGATGGTACTCGTAGTACGTATTCGGGCAGATTCGTATCGGGGTCCCCTTATCCCTGGGTCGAGTGAGGATCCCTTGGTCCTTGATCCGTTCGAAGATTTGGGACACCGAGAGCACTAAGGGGTGTATTCGGGAGCCTCCTCCCACCATGTATTGTTGGTGAGGGCATTTTCGTGTCGACGAGGTGTATCCGCCGCTCGTCTTCTTCTTTTTGGATGAGGGGTGTTCCCCCGACCCTGGGCCCAGTCGATCCGCCATTTTGCGGGTCGTGGTTACCGGCTCCCTGTCTTGTTGGGCGATTTCTTCTTCGATCACATCATACTTCTGTGCTCGGGCCAACACCTCGGCATAACTGGTCCCCGGGTTCCTCTAAAGATCTCTGTAGGTAAATCTCTGGTTGCTAAGGCATTTGTGAAGATGGTGATGCTGGTGCACTCCGTCAGGTCCTCAACCTTCAGGGTTTCATCCCTCCACCCAGACAAGGAAAGTGGAGAGGGACTCCCCGTTATCATGGCGGACGCTCGTCAGCGATCTAAAATGCTTCTTTGTGGTGGAGCTGGATGCAAAATGCGCCATGAATTGCCTCGATAGTTGATCGAAACTGTCTATGGTCTTGGGACTTAGCTGCCCGAACCACTCCTGTGCTGGCCCTCAGAGGTTGCTAAAGAAGAGTCTGCAGATGATCTCGTCAGATGCTCCCAATATGGAGAGCCCACCCTAGAAGGAAAGGAGGTGGGCCTTCGGATCTACGACACAATTGTAGAGCAGTGCACTTGGTGGTCTGCAGTCATGAGGGATCTGTGCCGCCATGATCCTAGCAGAAAATGGGGAGGTGAGCGTGATTCTGGGCTGCACCGGATTATTCTCCGTCCGGCGGTTCAGCTCGTCGATCAATCTCTGAAGGCTAGCGAGCATTTTGTCCCGCACGTCGGTGGCTGGGGCCACAGGGTTCACCACCGCCAGAACATCCTTTGTGCATACAACAGCCGTGTCGTGCTGCCTTTGAATGAAACGGGCACTTTGCCCCTCCGCATACTGGAACCGTGGTCCCACATTACTTACCACGAGAGTTGGCTCCCTATGCCGGTGGTCGTTGCGTGGCATCACCGAGGTGCGATTTCGAGCAGACAGTGTTGTCCTCCTCTGAAGGGCCTGGTCTCTTCATGTCCTCCCATATCTTGGGAGTGGGGTGTGCCGCTGATCCGAGTGTAGACTGATGTGTGAACCCCCAAAGTCTCGCATGTTTGTTCACTGAGCGATTGCATGGAGCGGATGGGGGAAAGCGATGTACGTTCGGTCTCTGCCGAGTATATGCGTTCTGTGTCCTGTGCGTCCGCCATGCGTCGCATGGTATCCGCCAGTCCCCACATGGCGCGAGGGTCTATTCTGACTTCCAGGGGAACTAGGTTGGTGACCTCCCCAAAATCTCTACGGCTCCACAGGCTACTGGACTGGCCACCCGATGTTTGGGTGCGAGTCCTCCTGCTGGTAGCCAACCGTTCAGAAATGTCGTGGATGTGTCCATAATTGTTTCTTGCCATCTCGCTTTCTTGTAAGGTTCGTAAGGTCTGCTTTTTGGTGAGAGCTTGTTTTTTGGAAAGACTTTTTGATTAGTTTCCCACAGACTGCGCTGGTGTTGAGGTTTATTCCTTCAACCCAAATACCCAACACGTTTCCCTTAGATTTCAGATCTTAAATATTCATATCAGACGAATAGAGCAACTTCTATAAATAGGGTAATCCTCAGAATAAATACAATATCATTTCAGTTTCTAAAATAATTGTACAACATCAAATTCTTTAAATAATGAGACTCTAATACACGTAATAGGATTCTAAACATACAAAATTAATCTTACACATTGAGTGAGGATCTAATTCAAGATCAAAATTTTTAAATAATGAAACTATAATTCACGTGAACAGAACTCTAATCGTACAACGCCAATAATACATCAATAATATTCAAAAGAAGAGACTCGGTGCTAATCAAAATTGATTCAATGATCATTTAAAGAGAATCTGTGATTTTCAACAAAATTACAAGTTTGACATGGATCGTACGACTAACACCGTACAGCCCGGCTATGCCATATACCCTTCCCATAAACACTACCCGGGCATACCACCACGAATCCTCAGCACTTATTATTAAACCCTAAAAATGAGATGCACTCGGAATCTTTTGAAATAAGCGGAAAGGCGGGCCACACGTTCACCCGTCATACCTTCGCTCACCCGTCATCCTCTAAATTCCTCACGGACAGCATATACAACGCACGGCGTCTTTTAATCCAGAGGGAGAGAGACAGGCGTCATCATGTGTGGGATTCTTGCGGTGTTCGGTTGCACTGACAACTCTCAGGCTAAGCGGTCCAGAATCATCGAGCTTTCTAGAAGGTGTAATGGAGCTATAGATGCCATTTTCTTTCAATGCCTACGTGCTTTAATGCTTTACTTTAGACTGAAACATTGTTGTTTCCTGTTAAATTATCTTTCATCGGTAAAGATATATTCTTTTCGCTAATGTCTGGTTTCCTGTTTTACACTTCTTTCATGTGAGATTGACAAATCATGTTTAGTTATTTGGGTATGTGTGGCTGTCGCGTGTACGGTATATACTTGGCAAAGCTCTATCATTGTTTCCTTTTAGGTCAATACATTAGTTACCAATGGAGTAACATTTCATTACCAATAAATGAAGTTTGATGTACACCATTATTTGATATGGTTTTTTTGGGCCAGATTTTATACTTCCAAATTGGAAAATGCAATAAATACCGACCCTTTACACATTAACAGCCATCCTTCACGATTTTAGTATTGCAAATATGTCATTTCTAGTAAATGTTTAAAGTTTTTGTAAGTGGTGTATTTGGTAGCATAATAGCATTTATCTTCATATATTGCTATTATCAGAATAAGAATACAGGTAATCTTTGACTTGCTAATTTGGTGGACATCAGTTCTACCAAACGCTTTGCCCTTAATTTTTTTAGTATATTCAGCCATTTTATCTAAAGACTCACTATTTTTTGGCTTGGGAATATCATGGAATAAATCAAAATGACTCACTATGATGGAGTAATGGGACTAGGCCCGGAGCCTAATCAGCCCAAGCCCCGAACTTGGACCCATGGATCCAAATCCATAACCCGGAGCCTGCCAGCCCGGCGGGGAGCCTGCTAGTCCGGCCGACCTCCTAGCCCGGAAGAGTAACGGCCGAACAATTAATGCGCTATTAATTATGTATTTAATTCCGTATTAATGTTGTAATTAATCAGTCATTATTATCGGTAACGGTTACGATTTGTATACGCCTACAAAAGGCGGGTTGTAATTCAGATTAGGGGAGGCGAATTCTATTTTCTTGATTCCTGCTTGAGTGTCGTACGTAGCTTTCCTAAAAGCCTACGAGCGTCCTATTTTGGACCAACACACTAAATTGTCACCGCTTCTTTGTTATGAAGCAACAATTAGTCCATGCAATTTTTCGACGCAATTGTCATCATGGGTCATCAGAAACAGTCTGTTTCTCTCTGTGATTTGGTACAAGGATAAGACTGCATACATCCAACCCCCTTACCCCACCATAGGCGGGGGAGCCTTGGCGGCATTGGGGTAATGTTGCTGTTGTTATTCAGTCTTTTTAGTCAAATAACCTTGTCCAAACTGGCCCAAAGTAAAACATGTGCTTGGTTTAGAGATAATCTTAGTCGCAAGTACATAGATACGAATATAGTAGCCAAATTCTAGCAGAACGTAGCAATGATATCTGTGTATTTGATTGTCATTTTGTATTTGATCAAATGAATCACAGAGTGGACATATAAACTGTAGTCTGCACTTTTCATCCGAAAGTCATATCATTCTAGGGATTGTGTGATATTGTAAAATTCCCAACTTGTATGTAATTTGGCGTTCTGTAATTGTAGGTTGCGTCACAGAGGACCGGATTGGAGTGGATTGCATTGTCATGGTGATTCTTATCTTGCGCATCAACGACTAGCAATAGTTGATCCTACCTCCGGGGATCAGCCATTGTACAATGAAGACAAAAGCATTGTTGTCACGGTTGGTGTAACTTCCCATTTACTATGTATGCAAGATTATTTTAACTGTTGAATGTCTGGTGCATAATTTACGTTTATTTCACTATTTTCTTACCAGTTTGTTGTTGCTGGTTGTTGCTTTTGAGTGTAAACTTGACGTGTAATTATCTACAAGTTGCTGAATATGTTTCCATTTTCTCTTGAGATTGAGAGGAATGCTTGGAAGTTGGAACATTTGTCTTTATAATTCCCTGTTTGAGATAATTTGCTTTTATTATTGTTTATTTGATTACTGACAAGCCCCCCCTATTCCAACGGTTTTTTCTTCTTCTTTCTAATAAACCTCATGAACTGCCACTTATAATTCTTGTCCTTCTATGAATGTGTTTTCAAGCTTGCTCAACATTCTTGTTGGATTTTAGGTCAATGGTGAAATATATAACCACAAAGAACTGAGGGAAAAGCTGAAGTCTCATCAATTTCATACTGGCAGTGATTGTGAAGTCATTGCCCATCTTGTAAGCACTTGACATACTTTTCTTCATGATTTATAAATAAATTAAACATGAATGCTTGTTAGTTGTGATTGTATTTGTTTAGTTTTTTTTATCATCTGCAACATTGCACTTGATATGCTACATTAATTGCCCACTTTACCACTAACATAATAATCAAAAGTACGTTGTTTGCTTCAAAAATATTCACAAAGAGACTGTAATGCTACATGCCCACTACTCTAATGCAAATCGATGATAACACATTATTTTAGAGAGATGTTGTATACTATGTTGAATGGAAACCGAAAACGCCATCTTTTAATAGAAAAACAACTGTTTAGAGAGTTTCCGAAGAGTTTCTGTAGAGTTTTCGAAACGGAAACGTACCCTTCCTGAGAGTTTTCGTGCTACATAGTTTATATATATATATATATAAGTTAAATTTTATTTGAGCAAGGCTTATAATGTGCAAAGTTGCACAAATAGTAAAACTAATACTTGTATTTGTTAGATGTGAAAATATATACGTTCTAGTTTACTTAGAGCCTTTTTGGGATAACTTATGGCATAGTTTCTTTTATTACAAGTGCTTTTTTATTTAAGCACTAAACTACGTCACTAAAAAAGCACAAGCAAATCCCCTAGTTTCTGAAGTAAAATTTAGAAGTGCTTTTTACAGTTAAAAAATCATTTCCACTTTCCTCCAAATGTTTGTTTATGAAGTTAACGTATTTCTTCCTCTAAAAAGTGTTTACTCCTTGAAAATAGGTCACAATCCAAAATATCTACTGTTCATCTGTCTTATGTTTTTTGAATATTCCATCTTTTAAATTCAGTATGAAGAATATGGAGAAGATTTTGTTGATATGTTGGATGGAATGTTCTCTTTTGTGCTTCTTGACACTCGCAACAAATGTTTCATTGCTGCTCGGGATGCTATTGGCATTACACCTCTTTATATGGGCTGGGGACTCGATGGTAAACTGATCAGAGTTCCATCTTTTCAAAGCTTAGACAGTTAGTCTTTGTTTGGTTTAGTGAAGAAATACAGAGAGAAATGTGTGGAAAAGAGATAAATAGGGTAGACCTTATTTGTTGTTTGGGAGGGGAGAGTGGAGGAGGAGATTCATTTCTGGCATATTTCTCTCCATAAGATAGAAGAAATGAAAAGAAAGTGGGTCCCACCATTTTCGTATCTCTCCTACTCATTTCTCTTCATACTGAACAACAAAATTTCTCTCCTATTTCTTTCGCCTCTATTTCTTCGGTCTCCCATTTTACCTTAACCAAAAAAGGCTTAGTGAGATACCAATTTGTTGTTGCATTTAGAAAAGTCATGTATATTTAGTAGTGCATTAATCCTGTCACTTGTTTTCTTCTCTTCAGGTTCTATATGGTTTGCTTCAGAAATGAAAGCCTTATGCGATGATTGTGAGAGATTCACAAGTTTTCTTCCTGGACATATATATTCAAGCAAAAGTGGTATGCTCATGTTGAACGGATAAGTGGAGGACTAAACTGAATTACTCCAGTTTAATGTGACATGGATACTGGTTTAGCAAGACTATCAATTCAATTGTTAAGTCTTGTTTTACTTGCCAAATGTTTCAATATTGCTACACGATTGAAAATTCCATTGTAGATGACTACACGATTTTCAATAAAAAACACTTCTCCCCTGTTTTTAAATTTTAATCTCTTAGTTCACTTGACAAGATTTTTATTTTTGTTTTGCCAAATTTTATGCCAAAACAACATTCATGAGACATTAAGACCATCTTTTATTCTTCTCGTTATTTAAGATTTCTTTATTATTTAAAAGTCCTTAAAATATTTCCGTAAAGTGAAATGTCTCAATACGTCGTATATTATATGCAAACAGGAGGTATTAGAAGATGGTACAACCCGCAATGGTATCTGGAGCACATTCCTTCTACTCCATATGATTCTCTCCTCTTACGCAAGGTTTTTGAGAAGGTATGGTTGCTCTAGAATTTCTAGAGTTGCCGCTTTTCAATGTACTGTTCTTTTTATAATTCCTTTTGAGAAGGTATGGTTGCTCTAGAATTTCTAGAGTTGCCGCTTTTCAATGTACTGTTCTTTTTATAATTCCTTTTTATGTGTAGAGTGTAGACATCATGGTTGTCACGGCAGTAAGGCACGACGCTAGCCAACTGCCTTATTGCCTAGGCAACTAGGTGCTCGCTCATGCGAAAAGTCGCACCATATGTAATATTTAAATACATACATACATATATATTTGCCATGTTTAAATACATTTAATTTCTAATATGCTATGTTTTACAAATTAAATCATATATTGCATAGAATTAATACCTACAATTAATAATTCAAGAGAGGGTTTATTAATTCAAAACAAGAACAAAAATATTCGCCTCAAATACGCAATAAAAAAATTTAACTATTAAGTTCTCAAAATTAATAGTGAAAATGCCAAGTGCCATTGTAATTTATCATTTAAGTGAAAATGATCACGGAGTGGTGAATGAAACTAAAGCAGTAAATTGAGAAGGAACGGTACTTAAAGGAAAAGCTGCACCTTGCGAGTTGTGACAGTAGAAGATAATCTACCTGCTGCGAGCTTGAGATGAAAAGAAAGAGAACTAGTTGTTGACTACCTTGAAGAAACCTTGTGCTCGAAAAGTTTGTGATATTTGATGATGTTGCTCACAAAGTAAGAAGTCTTAGAACACCTCTCGTCTATATTTTAATTAAACTACCCTCTAAAAGGCTGGGTTTCTAAAATCGAAAAAACCTGAAATATAATTAATTTATGAATTTCAATCTTAATTATACTTTCCAAATCTTAATTATTGGGCATTTGGGATAGGCCTTGAAAGTCTCAAATTACTCATCTGGCGTGACTCCTGGAACGTGCCAGGATGCTTTTGGACCACGCCTCGATGCACCTTGGTCAAGTAGATCACTTTGTTTTTTTACAAACGAATGAAAGCAGGTATCACATTGCTTGTGGTGTATGTCGATGATATTGTGATTAATCTCGTCTTTGTTGGTGGTAATCTCGTCTCCCAGAAAAGTATGAAGCAGAATGTGGTTTCTCGTTCTAGTGCTGAATCAGAATGTCGTGCTATGACACAATCGACATGTGAGGTTATCTGGATAAACCTTTTATTGAGTGAAATCGGATTGAAGACACCAATGCCTGCTAAACTGTGGTGTGATAACCAAGCTGCTATACATATTGACAACAACCCAGTGTTTCATGAGAGAACACAACATATTGAGGTCGCTTGTCATTTGATTCGAGAGAAGATACGGAAAAGATTGATTTCTACATGATATGTGAAGACCGAAGACTGGAGAACAACTTGGAGATTTGTTCACTAAAGCAGTAAATGAAATTCAAGTTGGTTATTATGTAACAAGTTGGACATGATAAATATCTATGCTCCAACTCAAGGGGGAGTGTGAAAGATATTAGAATACACTTTAGAATATGCTAGGAATATACTCTAATATATTATTAGAGTATAGAATCTTACATGAATATTCTATCTTTGTAAAGTATATTTATATAGACTTAACCCTTCAATGAAATACACAAAAAATTCTCCCTTATACAATATTAGTTCATTTTATATTCTCTTTCAACACACAATCTTATTCTTTGGTAGCTATTGGTTGCATGCGATTAGAAGGGGCCACATGTGAGGTAGTTGGGGAATGATGTGGACCCGTAAGAGGAGAGCTTGGTGTGGAGGCGGCCCAATTGAAACTAGGCGTCATGGGTGACATATGCATTTGTATGGGTGATGAGGTAGTGGACTCTTATGTATGTGCCATCGCCATATAGAGAAATATGGATGCAACAAAATGTACATCCGACGACACAAAGTGACGATTGGTATCAAGATCATACACCTTCGATCTTTTTGGGAATAAGCACAACCGAGGAACACACATCTATGATTTCATGTAGAAAATTTATCATTAGAGTGATTAACAGAGTGCGTGTAACACAAACACTCGGATACTCGAAGAAAATTATAGGCTGCTTCCTTACCAAACAAAAGTTTATACGGACTCTTGCCCTTAGTAAGAAGGGAAGGAATTCAGTTGATTAGATAACATGCAGCTAAGACACACTCTCCCAAAAATTAGATAGGTAGAATAGCATGAAGTCGTAGTGCATGAGCCATATCAAGGATATGTTTTTGTTTTCTCTCCAAGTGCTCGTTCTGTTGCGGTGTGTCTACACAAGTAGTCTGAAAAGAATTCTATTTTCCAGAAAATAATTTTTAGGGCAAATGAACTCGGTTCCATTATCAATGCGAACTATTTTAACCTCCTTATCAAACTACCTCTTGATCAAATGCAAAAATGTTTTAAAAGCTGCTGAACTTTAGTTTCCTCATGTAGCAAGTGAACCCATACTGCCTGAGAGAAATAATCCACTATAGTATAAAAGTAACAAGAGCCTCACATTACAGGAGACCAATATGGTCACCATTCATCACATGAATCATTTCATTGTCAACAACACTATTATTCAATTGAAAAATGTCTCGTGTTTGTTTAGCCCTCACACAAGCAGCACAAGGTTTATATAAAGAATTATTTGAAATAGAGCCATGTAAACAAGAAATACAACATATCACTTTGTTAGACGGATGTCTCAACGGTCAGTGCCACAAATAGGAACTGTCTGCTACCGCAATAGAACAAACCAATTCAAGATCCTTCCTTTCGAAAGTAATACACCCTCTTGCTGGCTGCTCACTCCAATTACCGTTCTCAGTGGTAGATCCTGTATCACAAATAGCTTATTAGTAAAGTATACATCACAATTTCCATTATCAACTAATCTAGCAATAGACGCAAGATCGCATGAGAGTCTAAGACAAGAAACACATTTGTCAATGTTAGGGAAGAATTGAACCGAATATGCCCCTTATGTGTCACAAATGTAATGTCCCCATTAAGTATCGTCACTGAGATTGTTAAAAATTTTCTTTTGTTTTCTAACGCATGTTAATTTCTTGTCATATGGTAGAAGGCACCAAAATTTATCTACCATTCAATTTCACTCGAGGTAGACACCTTATAGTTGTTTACCCATTTAATAAAGCTTGTCCACTGCTTCTTCGTAATCAGGCTGAACTGGCCGCAACAGCAATTCCAGCCGCTCCCTCTTCATCCACGGCTCCTTCATGTGTAGCCAGCATCGCATGGGCTTGTGGTTGTTCCCATCCGTGACATGGTGAGGACCACCCACATCCCCGTCCGTGGTTACCGTATTACCAAAATCTGGTTACTTTCTGCTGCATTTAAAACAGTTGTCAACGGTATTACCGTCCGACAGAAGGTGCTCGTAATCTTTTCTTCACTGCCCTAATGGGATGAACTGCCCCCCCTCGTACTTTTCTTCCTCGGATCATGTTTTTATGGTGATCCTCTTGCACCACCATTTGGTAGATTTTAGACAACGTCAGCAACTCATCAACTTGTTTGAAATACTGTTTTCTAGACTACATGTACACTGGCCCCGCACACGCGTTGTGGCATATTTCGATAACTTTCGTAGCCGTCCCACAATGACTTTGGATGTCCGAAATATGTTGTTACAACTGCCCATTTCGCCGAGAGGTCTGGATCACCTCTTTCAATTCATAGACCCGCATTGGGTCACCCCTCTGAACTGGAGTGTCAAATCCTCCCACAAATTGTGTACGTCATCCATGTAGGTGATATTCGTTCTCAAAGTCAGCTCAATGGATGACATAACCTAACCAATGAGCATTGAGTTCACACTCATCCAATCCTTGATGTCATCATCTCTGATAGTTGGACATGAGATTGTACCGTCCTAGAAACCAAGTTTTTGTTTTGCTCGGAACACATTTTTTAATGGCTATCCCCTTATCTCGGTAGTTTGATTCTCCTTTGAGAGTGACACCACAAATATTAAGTCTGGGATAATCCGAGTTGTGCAAGAAATAAGGCGAAGATGGGCCGTTGATCTTCTGGCGTTCATGTTCATATCTTGGCACAATGGTCGCCGCTGAAGTGTTGGCATCAGTAGTTGGCTACACTATCTTGTTCAATTTCTGCTCCACGTTTCCGAAGCTAAGGGAACTGACAACTCAGGAGGTCGTCATTGATCTTTGTTCGTTACAGAGAGGTGTTCTTCTTTTCGTATTTGCGCAGAAGCGTAACTGGTTAAAGACCACGCTCTAATATCATGATGAATTAGTAAACACACGTGAGTATAGAATGCGTTTTTGCTTGCCTTCTATTCACATGCGTATGAGTAATATACAATTTTTTTTAAGATTACAAAACTTTGTATGGAAAGAAGTATCGATTCGTAAAATCAAGCTACTAGACATAACCAAAAAAGAGATACAATATGCATGTGAAGTGTATATAGAAAAATATTAAAACAATATATATGTGCACATGGTCTAATATCATACAAACAGCAAAGTATGTGCTTTAGTAGTGAAAACATTGAACATCAGGAAATGTTTTTTGGTCATTCTCTTTTAACTATGTTTATATTTTGACTTCTAGTGTCATACTTTTTGCACATAGTCTGGATTATGTCTGTCTATGCCTTAGTCACTCTGTTTCATATAAACCTTCTCTGTAGCTTATTATAGTAACAAATAACAACACATCTGCTTCTCCTCTTTATGTGTCAATGTGTCATCCACGTGTAGTTCTAGTACTCTAGTTACATGACTCATTTATAAGTCTCTCCATCCCTGAAACAAGAGTCCTGTTTCCAACTCATTTTTTGGCCCAAAAAAGTCTTGTACAAAGCTAATCTTTCATGTAATTTGCCAAGATATGGCTACAACATAGTAAAAACAAGTTATGTATGATAAATTTAGTTGAAGAAACGAAATAATTTTAAAACATGTGTCATTCTTGATTTGTAACAGTTTAAAAGTTGTACATTAGTCTAACTGGCCCTTTTTGGGATGGAGGGGTAATTGTTTTAAGGTAAGGATCAATTTTTTTAAAGAGCCATATATGTCTCCTTTATGAAGTCTAATAGGCTATGTTGACATTACTTTCATCGCCACTCTTGTTTTTGATAGGGTCATCCACTAAAAAATGGGTGGTGTTAATTTCAAATTGTCAACATAGTCTATATGCCTCCCTAAAGGAGTCATATAAAGATAACTCATATATGGCTCTTTAAAACTACTCGTAAGATGATATCATCTCTTGATGCCAGACCACTGTGTGACTCATAGTCTTTTGCCTCGTAAATAATATATGCAGGCAGTGGTTAAAAGGCTAATGACAGATGTACCCTTTGGTGTACTTCTGTCAGGTGGACTGGATTCATCTCTTGTTGCCGCTGTGGCTAACCGCTATTTAGCCAACACTGAAGCTGCCCGCCAATGGGGATCACAGTTGCATACTTTTTGCATTGGTTTGAAGGTATTATCTCTCATACAAAAGAATGATATAAATTAATTTTTCTCCATAGTGTCTTCATGAATTGATTTGTGCTCTGAGGATACTTCTGAGGGAATATGGATACTAGTCCCTTAGAGGTCAGGAGTTATAAAGGGAATTGAATATCTTCAGTTTGATAATTTTCGTACGCGTGTTCCAAGCAGTGGTATTAATTCACATTCACTTTTTATTTATAATTTTATATTTATGTATACAATAAACAATAATAAGCATTACTCATTGGAGATAGCTATCTCATTTGTCATTGGAATTGAATAACTGATTCACAACTTCATGGGAACAGTCGATCCAGGGATTCTGGGAATAGAGATCTATTGATTCTAATCAGATGATGGAAATAGATATACCATTCAGTGAATATTATTCCATATCCTCATTTACTCCATGAATCAATTATGAAGCAAAAGCTGTGAGGCTCTATTTTCTTTCAGTAACTTTTAGATTGCTCAACAACTTTCTTTACACTTAGGACTCTCCTGATTTAAAAGCTGCTAAAGAAGTGGCAGACTACCTTGGGACTTGTCACCATGAGTTTACATTTACAGTGCAGGTTCTCTCTCGCTCTCTCTTTCTGGATGGTGCTAGATAATTCCTTTTGTTTAAAAAAACCACGCATTCATTTCCCAAGATTGATTTGACTTTTGACTTTTACTTCCACAACAGGAAGGGATAGATGCACTTGATGAAGTTATATACCATATTGAAACATATGATGTGACCACTGTCAGAGCCAGTACACCAATGTTTCTCATGTCCCGTAAAATAAAATCTCTGGGAGTGAAAATGGTTCTATCTGGAGAAGGTTCTGATGAAATCTTTGGCGGTTACCTGTATTTTCACAAGGCACCAAACAAGGAGGAGCTTCACCGGGAAACTTGTCAAAAGGTGTTTTTACTCATCAAATAAACTTGTTCTCTTGAACGTGGACTTTTTTAGAAATACATAACTTATTGGCCACAGATATGGAAAATCTCATGCCCTTATGACATATCCCTCCTTTCCGGACACAGATCAAGGCTCTGCATCTGTATGATTGCTTGAGAGCCAACAAGTCAACTTCTGCATGGGGTGTTGAGGCTCGTGTGCCCTTTTTAGACAAGGAATTCATCAACGTTGCAATGAGTATTGATCCAGAATGGAAAATGGTATCTGCCTCTACTTAAAGACTTAATGGTTATTTTCAGGGCCTTCCCACTCCCAAGTGATGATAAAATGTTGATTAACCTGAGGTATCACTTTATAGAATGGAAAGGTCTTATGCGTCTTACTTTTTAATAGGTCTATTGTCATTACTCAGTGTTATTATTATTACCTCCAATATATTATGGACGTGGTTGGCATCAGAAAGAGAAAATAAAATATGCCTAAGATAGAATTAGTTGGTGCTCGACCTTGTCAAGACATAGGAGAATTAATTCTTCAAAGGTTGCGCATTAAATAAGTATTGAAGACCCTTATATAACTATCGTAGAAGTCTGAATCAACTTAATCTACAAAATTAATTATAATATATTTCATATGGAGTCAAATCTGATCTTCAGCATTTATTGTAATATATTCCATTTATAATCTTACCTTGAATAGATTAGAAATTCTTTGTATAAATTGTATAATAGTGTATATTTAAAATCTTTTATGCTATCAGAACCAGTTTTGAGCTCTAACCAGTCTTTCCGTAGCGTCTAACGGGTTTGACAACCCAATGTCTTCGGCCTCTTCATCAAATGAACTCCGTTGTTATCTCTTTTGATTTAGGAAGAGAAGCTTTTTGTATTACTCATTTCAGATCATACCTCATGACTCCCATATATATATAGGGAAGTAAATGATACATTAAAGGACAAAAGAAAACTGAAAGTCATAAAGGAAATTGAAAAGTTAAGCTGCTGGAAAGTCTGGAATATACTTGTGATATGTACAGTTCACACCTTGTTTTGAGTGTGCAACTTCAAAACCTAGAAAGTATCTCAATTTGCCAAGATCTTTTGTTTCAAAATGCTGAAATAAATGCTTCTTAAGAAGTTTTATTCCCTCTACGTCATCACCCGTGATCACAATATCATCCACGTAAACCACAAGATAGATATTAAGACCTTTTTGGATTCTGTAAAATATATAATGGTCAACTTTACTTTGAATCATGTTAAATTTTTGTACTAGTTCATTGAACCGTCCAAACCAAGCACGTGGGGACTGCTTCAACCCAAACAATGAGCGTTTGAGGCGTCAAACTAGATCAGCTCCCCCAGAAGCTATGAATCCCGGAGGACCTCCTCCGTTAGATTTCCATGCAGGAATGCATTTTTTATATCCAATTGATGTAACGGCCACTGTCGTATTGCTGAAATAGCCAGTAAAGTGCGAACTGATGCTATTTTTGCAATAGGGGAGAATGTATAGTATAGTCGATTCCGAACACTTGTGTGTATCCTTTGGCTACAAGCCTGGCTTTTAGCCGGTCTATCATGCCATTATGACCAACCTTGACTGTGTATAACCATCTGCAGCCGACCACAAGTTTATTTGGTGGTAGAGGCACAAGTTCCCATGTCACTGACGAGTGAAGGGCTTCCATTTCATCAAGCATGGCCTCTTTCCAACCTGGATGACTTAATGCTTCCTTGACACTTTTAGGAACAGGAACAAAAACAGAAGAGAGACATGATGGTGACAAATGGTTGTATGAGAGGAAGTTATAGATATGATAAGGATTTCGAGTGGATCTTTTACCAACTTTGCTGGCAATAGGAAGATCATTAGTTATCTCTTGGCCCGACTCTTGAGGCGACGATGGCTCCGCACATAAATCACTTGGATTACTATCTTCTTTTTCTGTTGGATGATGGTAAGGCTTACTCGAACGATGTCGACGGTGATAGGTATAAGGGAACTCAATAATATGGTTCTCTGGAATGTCACTGGGAGTTCCTTTTTCAGGTATGGCCAGGGATGTAGGTTCAGGTTCAGGAAAGTCCCGCAGAACGGGTTCATGTTCTTTGAAAGGCCGGCCGCATAGGGACCATTTCTGTAGACTCATCAGTAAAGTTTGATACGTCAAGGGAAGAATAATGAGAGAAATATGGAGTAGACTCAAAGAAAGTGACTTCAAAAGATGTATATATACGCTTTGACCTAGGACAGTAACATCGAAATCCCTTTTGAAGACGAGAGTATCCCAAGAACACACACTTGATAGCTTTTGGAGAGAGTTTATCCCTTCCCGGAGTGATACACTTGATAGCTTTTGGAGAGAGTTTATCCCTTCCCGGAGTGATATCACGAACAAATCAAGTGCACCCAAATACCTTTAAAGGTAATATGTGCAAAGGTTCATCAGGGAACAAAACATTGTAAGGAGTCTTTCCTTGTAGTATATCAGAAGACATGCAGTTTATGAGATAACAAGAGTGAAGATTGGCTTCTCTCCAAAGGCATTTAGGTACCTTGTAATGAATAAGCATTGTTCGGGCAGTTTCCACAAGGTGTCGATTCTTCCGTTCAGCCACTCCATTTTGTTGAGGAGTGTCTCCACAAGAAGATTCATGAAGGACCCCATGACTGTCGTAAAATTTAGAGAAGGATTCGGAAAAATACTCCTCGGCATCGTCACTACGAATGGTTTTTATCACCACCCCGAATTCAGTTTTTATTTCATTGACAAATTTTTGAGATATACTGAAAAGTTCAGACCGATCTTTCATTAAATAGATCCAAGTACAACGAGAAAAGTCATCAATAAATGTAACAAAGTACTGAAATCCAAAGATAGACTTAACTCGACTCGGTCCCCATACGTCAGTATAAATTAGAGAAAAGCTTTATTTATCCTATTTTTGTAAAAAGCTTTGGATTGCTTTCCTAACTGACACGACTCACACTCGACTGATGAAACATTAGACATTATAGGAACAAGTTGACTAAGCTTATTTAGGCTAGGATGACCAAATCGACTATGAAGAAGCAATGGTGTGGTAGTGGTGGTAGTGCAAACAATATTGGTGTTGGCTAGATGATATAACCCTTGTGATTCATATCCTGTGCCAATTGTCTTCCTCAATTGTCGGTCCTTCACAGTCACAGATTTAGTGGAAAATATAATTTTACAATTAAGATGTGAAGTGAGTTTATGGACAGAGATCAAGTTGAAGGGGGCAATTAGGAAATTACAACACAGAGGATAATGAGAGAAGGGAGTGGAGAGGCATTTCCAATTCCTATAGCTTTACCTATTGACGCATCACCAAAGGTAACAGATGGAAGAGATTTGGAAAATGTCAAGCATGTAAAAAGTGAAGGATTACCAGAAATGTGATCGGTAGCACCTAAGTGAAAAATCCAAACAGGATTGGACTGAGAGGCTAAAGAAACATGAGTTTTGTCAGGTGTTATTGAGGTTCGAGCAGCCTTTAACTGCTGGAATTGTTCATATTCAGACTGTGAGAGAACATGGGAACATTTAGCTTCATTATTGACTTCAGCTACATTGACCGTGCTTGGTTTCCCATGTAGGTTCCAACATTGATCACGTGTGTGTCCTGGCTTGTTGCAATAATCACAAAACATTGCATACCTCTGCCACGGCCTCCCCCTCTTTTGTGAAGATTGTCTCTTCCTCTACCTCGACCACCCTGAGTGTGAGAAACAAAAGCAGAGTTATTAGCATTGTTGTCTTCTGTGACTGAGGTCCCTCGAAGTAGCCGAGTAAAAACTTCAGTAATGTTCAGAACATTTTTCTCGCTCAAGATCTGACGTAGAATCTCTTCAAAACCTGCTCCTAGTTTGGAGAGTGTCAAGACTACCCAGAATTTTTCCCTTTGAGCTTGCTGTCTTTCAATGGATTCTTCCATTGGCATAAGCGTATTAAATTCTGTCATTAAGCCTTGAACTTTCCCTAAGAAAGTTTCCATTGACATCCCAAATTTTGTTATTTTTAAAATTTCATCAACAACTGAATAAAGCGAGCTATGTCATTTGTATAGAGAGACTTGGCTTGCTTCCAGCACGTCTTGAAAGGGTGGAACATTAGAACGATTTCTGGTGAGAGAGACTGCCATAAGATGCTGCAAAGTTGGGCATCAACGTGTTTCCAGACTTCTCTTTGATACTCAATTGAATCAGCTTCTTTGATCAAATGGTCATCCACTCCTTGTCCCATGAACCACAGTTCCACAACACATGCCCAATCTTGATAATTTTGTGATCCAATAAGTTTATTATTGGTAACAGTAGGGTATCCCGACAGATTTGGGACGTAAACGGGACCAAGAGTTTCTTCACTACTGCTTGTTACAACCACGATGAAAAAATTAAAATTTCATGAAATTATTCACTACTGGAGCGGGACGAACACCTTGAAGATTGATTCACCAGAAAATATGCTCAGAGTCCCCTCCACGTGCAGAAGGAATTTCAGACCATACCCAGGTCTATGATACCATGTTGATTTAGGAAGAGAAGCTTTTTGTATTACTCATTTCAGATCATACATCATGACTCCCATATATATAGGGAAGTAAATAAGAAAACTGAAAGTCATAAAGGAAAATGAAAAGTTAAGCTGCTGGAAAGTCTGGAATATAAAAAGGTATATTCAGATCTATTGAGGGACGATTTATTCATCTTCAATGCATCCCACTTCCGAGAAAAACATGACAGAACCCATTATATTTCCTGCCGTGATCAGGCCCGTGACATCTTCTGTGGTAGGAGTGTCCCAGGTTCGGAACAAAATCAGAACATGAACTAGAACTAAACCGTTGGTTCCCGATTCCAAATTTCGGAGAACCAAAACCGGGAACCCGAAGTACCAGTTTTAAAACCGGCAGTTCTGGTTCCAATCCGATTTGGTTTTCCGGTTTCAATTTCATTTTTATTTGTATTTTTAGATATTAAAGTTTAGTTAATTTTTTAAAACTAGGTCAAGGATAAGTGCATAACCTATAAGATAATTCAAATAAAAGTACAACAACATTGTATTATTCAAATAAAAGTGTTCTCAATTTTTTTTTGTACAACTAATACTTATCATTGTTATAACTAAGTACAATAATTAGCTATTTAATAGCTAACAACAACATTACCCCAGTGTCGCAAAGGCGCCCACCTACGAAGAGTTGAATGGGGGTTAGATGTACTCAACCGTACC